TGGATAATTTTGACTCGAAGAGTTATCCAATCTGTGGTTCGGTCCCCGTTGCGCCTCGTTCACGATGTCCAGTTTGGTGCTGTAGGGGGGCCAGTGGCACCAGAGCAGGTTGTCCGATTTTTCCAGCCACCAATCCGGAACAGGATATGTGCTTTTGTCTAAAAGAAGCTCAATGGTACCTGTAAGTAAAAAACATATAAAATATGTGTAAAAGTATTTAAAAACATATAAGCTTTTTTCTACCTCTTGTCCAGTGTCTTACTTGTGCAATTTTACTTTTGCATAATGCTAAAATAACTAGGTCAGCAAAATACTCTATTAAAGTGTAAAAGAAATCCAAGAAAGATATCCTACCCTTCCCATGATGGTAGCTCTCGCTATCATCAGAGTCGGACTCCAGCCTCCTTTGCATCCTCCTTCGCGCTCGCGACGGAGCGTCCGATTCCAGGTTTGATGTATCCTCCGCCTCCCCCAGCCTCGCCATAGCCTGCTCTAGGGTGTCTAAATGACGAGGAATTGCATGAATATCGGCGTCATATTAAATTACAGTTATGTGCTTACAGTACGAATGGATAATTTTGACTCGAAGAGTTATCCAATCTGTGGTTCGGTCCCCGTTGCGCCTCGTTCACGATGTCCAGTTTGGTGCTGTAGGGGGGCCAGTGGCACCAGAGCAGGTTGTCCGATTTTTCCAGCCACCAATCCAAAACAGGATATGTGCTTTTGTCTAAAAGAAGCTCAATGGTACCTGTAAGTAAAAAACATATAAAATCTGTGTAAAAGTATTTAAAAACATATAAGCTTTTTTCTACCTCTTGTCCAGTGTCTTACTTGTGCAATTTTACTTTTGCATAATGCTAAAATAACTAGGTCAGCAAAATACTCTATTAAAGTGTAAAAGAAATCCAAGAAAGATATCCTACCCTTCCCATGATGGTAGCTCTCGCTATCATCAGAGTCGGACTCCACCCTCTTTTGCATCCTCCTTCGCGCTCGCGACGGAGCGTCCGATTCCAGGTTTGATGTATCCTCCGCCTCCCCCAGCCTCGCCATAGCCTGCTCTAGGGTGTCTAAATGACGAGGAATTGCATGAATATCGGCGTCATATTAAATTACAGTTATGTGCTTACAGTACGAATGGATAATTTTGACTCGAAGAGTTATCCAATCTGTGGTTCGGTCCCCGTTGCGCCTCGTTCACGATGTCCAGTTTGGTGCTGTAGGGGGGCCAGTGGCACCAGAGCAGGTTGTCCGATTTTTCCAGCCACCAATCCAAAACAGGATATGTGCTTTTGTCTAAAAGAAGCTCAATGGTACCTGTAAGTAAAAAACACATAAAATCTGTGTAAAAGTATTTAAAAACATATAAGCTTTTTTCTACCTCTTGTCCAGTGTCTTACTTGTGCAATTTTACTTTTGCATAATGCTAAAATAACTAGGTCAGCAAAATACTCTATTAAAGTGTAAAAGAAATCCAACAAAGATATCCTTCCCTTCCCATGATGGTAGCTCTCGCTATCATCAGAGTCGGACTCCACCCTCCTTTGCATCCTCCTTCGCGCTCGCGACGGAGCGTCCGATTCCAGGTTTGATGTATCCTCCGCCTCCCCCAGCCTCGCCATAGCCTGCTCTAGGGTGTCTAAATGACGAGGAATTGCATGAATATCGGCGTCATATTAAATTACAGTTATGTGCTTACAGTACGAATGGATAATTTTGACTCGAAAAGTTATCCAATCTGTGGTTCGGTCCCCGTTGCGCCTCGTTCACGATGTTCAGTTTGGTGCTGTAGGGGGGCCAGTGGCACCAGAGCAGGTTGTCCGATTTTTCCAGCCACCAATCCGGAACAGGATATGTGCTTTTGTCTAAAAGAAGCTCAATGGTACCTGTAAGAAAAAAACATATAAAATCTGTGTAAAAGTATTTAAAAACATATAAGCTTTTTTCTACCTCTTGTCCAGTGTCTTACTTGTGCAATTTTACTTTTGCATAATGCTAAAATAACTAGGTCAGCAAAATACTCTATTAAAGTGTAAAAGAAATCCAAGAAAGATATCCTACCCTCCCCATGATGGTAGGTCTCGCTATCATCAGAGTCGGACTCCACCCTCCTTTGCATCCTCCTTCGCGCTCGCGACGGAGCGTCCGATTCCAGGTTTGATGTATCCTCCGCCTCCCCCAGCCTCGCCATAGCCTGCTCTAGGCTGTCTAAATGACGAGGAATTGCATGAATATCGACGTCATATTAAATTACAGTTATGTGCTTACAGTACGAATGGATAATTTTGACTCGAAGAGTTATCCAATCTGTGGTTCGGTCCCCGTTGCGCCTCGTTCACGATGTCCAGTTTGGTGCTGTAGGGGGGCCAGTGGCACCAGAGCAGGTTGTCCGATTTTTCCAGCCACCAATCCGGAACAGGATATGTGCTTTTGTCTAAAAGAAGCTCAATGGTTCCTGTAAGTAAAAAACATATAAAATCTGTGTAAAAGTATTTAAAAACATATAAGCTTTTTTCTACCTCTTGTCCAGTGTCTTACTTGTGCAATTTTACTTTTGCATAATGCTAAAATAACTAGGTCAGCAAAATACTCTATTAAAGTGTAAAAGAAATCCAAGAAAGATATCCTACCCTCCCCATGATGGTAGGTCTCGCTATCATCAGAGTCGGACTCCACCCTCCTTTGCATCTTCCTTCGCGCTCGCGGTGGAGCGTCCGATTCCAGGTTTGATGTATCCTCCGCCTCCCCCAGCCTTGCCATAGCCTGCTCTAGGGTGTCTAAATGACGAGGAATTGCATGAATATCGGCGTCATATTAAATTACAGTTATGTGCTTACATTACGAATGGATAATTTTGACTCGAAGAGTTATCCAATCTGTGGTTCGGTCCCCGTTGCGCCTCGTTCACGATGTCCAGTTTGGTGCTGAAGGGGGGCCAGTGGCACCAGAGCAGGTTGTCCGATTTTTCCAGCCACCAATCCGGAACAGGATATGTGCTTTTGTCTAAAAGAAGCTCAATGGTACCTGTAAGTAAAAAACATATAAAATCTGTGTAAAAGTATTTAAAAACATATAAGCTTTTTTCTACCTCTTGTCCAGTGTCTTACTTGTGCAATTTTACTTTTGCATAATGCTAAAATAACTAGGTCAGCAAAATACTCTATTAAAGTGTAAAAGAAATCCAAGAAAGATATCCTACCCTCCCCATGATGGTAGGTCTCGCTATCATCAGAGTCGGACTCCACCCTCCTTTGCATCCTCCTTCGCGCTCGCGACGGAGCGTCCGATTCCGGGTTTGATGTATCCTCCGCCTCCCCCAGCCTCGCCATAGCCTGCTCTAGGGTGTCTAATTGACGAGGAATTGCATGAATATCGACGTCATATTAAATTACAGTTATGTGCTTACAGTACGAATGGATAATTTTGACTCGAAGAGTTATCCAATCTGTGGTTCGGTCCCCGTTGCGCCTCGTTCACGATGTCCAGTTTGGTGCTGTAGGGGGGCCAGTGGCACCAGAGCAGGTTGTCCGATTTTTCCAGCCACCAATCCGGAACAGGATATGTGCTTTTGTCTAAAAGAAGCTCAATGGTACCTGTAAGTAAAAAACATATAAAATCTGTGTAAAAGTATTTAAAAACATATAAGCTTTTTTCTACCTCTTGTCCAGTGTCTTACTTGTGCAATTTTACTTTTGCATAATGCTAAAATAACTAGGTCAGCAAAATACTCTATTAAAGTGTAAAAGAAATCCAAGAAAGATATCCTACCCTTCCCATGATGGTAGCTCTCGCTATCATCAGAGTCGGACTCCACCCTCCTTTGCATCTTCCTTCGCGCTCGCGGTGGAGCGTCCGATTCCAGGTTTGATGTATCCTCCGCCTCCCCCAGCCTTGCCATAGCCTGCTCTAGGGTGTCTAAATGACGAGGAATTGCATGAATATCGGCGTCATATTAAATTACAGTTATGTGCTTACAGTACGAATGGATAATTTTGACTCGAAGAGTTATCCAATCTGTGGTTCGGTCCCCGTTGCGCCTCGTTCACGATGTCCAGTTTGGTGCTGTAGGGGGGCCAGTGGCACCAGAGCAGGTTGTCCGATTTTTCCAGCCACCAATCCGGAACAGGATATGTGCTTTTGTCTAAAAGAAGCTCAATGGTACCTGTAAGTAAAAAACATATAAAATCTGTGTAAAAGTATTTAAAAACATATAAGCTTTTTTGTACCTCTTGTCCAGTGTCTTACTTGTGCGATTTTACTTTTGCATAATGATAAAATAACTAGGTCAGCAAAATACTCTATTAAAGTGTAAAAGAAATCCAAGAAAGATATCCTACCCTTCCCATGATGGTAGCTCTCGCTATCATCAGAGTCGGACTCCACCCTCCTTTGCATCCTCCTTCGCGCTCGCGACGGAGCGTCCGATTCCAGGTTTGATGTATCCTCCGCCTCCCCCAGCCTCGCCATAGCCTGCTCTAGGGTATCTAAATGACGAGGAATTGCATGAATATCGGGGTCATCTTAAATTACAGTTATGTGCTTACAGTACGAATGGATAATTTTGACTCAAAGATTTATCCAATCTGTGGTTCGGTCCCCGTTGCGCCTCGTTCACGATGTCCAGTTTGGTGCTGTAGGGGGGCCAGTGGCACCAGAGCAGGTTGTCCGATTTTTCCAGCCACCAATCCGGAACAGGATATGTGCTTTTGTCTAAAAGAAGCTCAATGGTACCTGTAAGTAAAAAACATATAAAATCTGTGTAAAAGTATTTAAAAACATATAAGCTTTTTTCCACCTCTTGTCCAGTGTCTTACTTGTGCGATTTTACTTTTGCATAATGATAAAATAACTAGGTCAGCAAAATACTCTATTAAAGTGTAAAAGAAATCCAAGAAAGATATCCTACCCTCCCCATGACGGTAGGTCTCGCTATCATCAGAGTCGGACTCCACCCTTCTTTGCATCCTCCTTCGCGCTCGCGACGGAGCGTCCGATTCCAGGTTTGATGTATCCTCCGCCTCCCCCAGCCTTGCCATAGCCTGCTCTAGGGTATCTAAATGACGAGGAATTGCATGAATATCGGGGTCATCTTAAATTACAGTTATGTGCTTACAGTACGAATGGATAATTTTAACTCTAAGAGTTTTCCACTCGGGGGTTCTAGCCTCGTTGCGCCTAATTGCGTTCGCGATGTCCAGTTTGGTGCTGTAGGGGGGCCAGTGGCAGCCGAGCAGGTTGTCAGGGGATTTTTGCAGCCACCAATCCGGAACAGGATATGTGCTTTTGTCTAAAAGAAACTCAACGGTACCTGTAAGTAAAAAACATAAAATCTGTGTAAAAGTATTTAAAAACATATGAGCTTTTTTCTACCTCTTGTCCAGTGTCTTACTTGTGCGATTTTACTTTGGCATATCGATAAAATAACTAGGTCAGCAAATACTCTATTCAAATGTAAAAGAAATCCAAGAAAGATATCCTACCCTCCCCATGATGGTAGGTCTCGCTATCATCAGAGTCGGACTCCACCCTCCTTTGCATCTTCCTTCGCGCTCGCGGTGGAGCGTCCGATTCCAGGTTTGATGTATCCTCCGCCTCCCCCAGCCTTGCCATAGCCTGCTCTAGGGTATCTAAATGACGAGGAATTGCATGAATATCGGGGTCATCTTAAATTACAGTTATGTGCTTACAGTACGAATGGATAATTTTAACTCTAAGAGTTTTTCACTCGGGGGTTCTAGCCTCGTTGCGCCTAATTGCGTTCGCGATGTCCAGTTTGGTGCTGTAGGGGGGCCAGTGGCAGCCGAGCAGGTTGTCAGGGGATTTTTGCAGCCACCAATCCGGAACAGGATATGTGCTTTTGTCTAAAAGAAACTCAATGCTACCTGTAAGTAAAAAACATATAAAATCTGTGTAAAAGTATTTAAAAACATATGAGCTTTTTTCTACCTCTTGTCCAGTGTCTTACTTGTGTGATTTTACTTTGGCATATCGATAAAATGACTAGGTCAGCAAAATACTCTATTCAAATGTAAAAGAAATCCAAGAAAGATATCCTACCCTTCCCATGATGGTAGCTCTCGCTATCATCAGAGTCGGACTCCACCCTCCTTTGGCATCCTCCTTCGCGCTCGCGACGGAGCGTCCGATTCCAGGTTTGATGTATCCTCCGCCTCCCCCAGCCTCGCCATAGCCTGCTCTAGGGTGTCTAAATGACGAGGAATTGCATGAATATCGGCGTCATATTAAATTACAGTTATGTGCTTACAGTACGAATGGATAATTTTGACTCGAAGAGTTATCCAATCTGTGGTTCGGTCCCCGTTGCGCCTCGTTCACGATGTCCAGTTTGGTGCTGTAGGGGGGCCAGTGGCACCAGAGCAGGTTGTCCGATTTTTCCAGCCACCAATCCGGAACAGGATATGTGCTTTTGTCTAAAAGAAGCTCAATGGTACCTGTAAGTAAAAAACATATAAAATCTGTGTAAAAGTATTTAAAAACATATAAGCTTTTTTCTACCTCTTGTCCAGTGTCTTACTTGTGCAATTTTACTTTTGCATAATGCTAAAATAACTAGGTCAGCAAAATACTCTATTAAAGTGTAAAAGAAATCCAAGAAAGATATCCTACCCTCCCCATGATGGTAGGTCTCGCTATCATCAGAGTCGGACTCCACCCTCCTTTGCATCCTCCTTCGCGCTCGCGACGGAGCGTCCGATTCCGGGTTTGATGTATCCTCCGCCTCCCCCAGCCTCGCCATAGCCTGCTCTAGGGTGTCTAATTGACGAGGAATTGCATGAATATCGACGTCATATTAAATTACAGTTATGTGCTTACAGTACGAATGGATAATTTTGACTCGAAGAGTTATCCAATCTGTGGTTCGGTCCCCGTTGCGCCTCGTTCACGATGTCCAGTTTGGTGCTGTAGGGGGGCCAGTGGCACCAGAGCAGGTTGTCCGATTTTTCCAGCCACCAATCCGGAACAGGATATGTGCTTTTGTCTAAAAGAAGCTCAATGGTACCTGTAAGTAAAAAACATATAAAATCTGTGTAAAAGTATTTAAAAACATATAAGCTTTTTTCTACCTCTTGTCCAGTGTCTTACTTGTGCAATTTTACTTTTGCATAATGCTAAAATAACTAGGTCAGCAAAATACTCTATTAAAGTGTAAAAGAAATCCAAGAAAGATATCCTACCCTTCCCATGATGGTAGCTCTCGCTATCATCAGAGTCGGACTCCACCCTCCTTTGCATCCTCCTTCGCGCTCGCGACGGAGCGTCCGATTCCAGGTTTGATGTATCCTCCGCCTCCCCCAGCCTCGCCATAGCCTGCTCTAGGGTGTCTAAATGACGAGGAATTGCATGAATATCGGCGTCATATTAAATTACAGTTATGTGCTTACAGTACGAATGGATAATTTTGACTCGAAGAGTTATCCAATCTGTGGTTCGGTCCCCGTTGCGCCTCGTTCACGATGTCCAGTTTGGTGCTGTAGGGGGGCCAGTGGCACCAGAGCAGGTTGTCCGATTTTTCCAGCCACCAATCCAAAACAGGATATGTGCTTTTGTCTAAAAGAAGCTCAATGGTACCTGTAAGTAAAAAACATATAAAATCTGTGTAAAAGTATTTAAAAACATATAAGCTTTTTTCTACTTCTTGTCCAGTGTCTTACTTGTGCAATTTTACTTTTGCATAATGCTAAAATAACTAGGTCAGCAAAATACTCTATTAAAGTGTAAAAGAAATCCAAGAAAGATATCCTACCCTTCCCATGATGGTAGCTCTCGCTATCATCAGAGTCGGACTCCACCCTCTTTTGCATCCTCCTTCGCGCTCGCGACGGAGCGTCCGATTCCAGGTTTGATGTATCCTCCGCCTCCCCCAGCCTCGCCATAGCCTGCTCTAGGGTGTCTAAATGACGAGGAATTGCATGAATATCGGCGTCATATTAAATTACAGTTATGTGCTTACAGTACGAATGGATAATTTTGACTCGAAGAGTTATCCAATCTGTGGTTCGGTCCCGGTTGCGCCTCGTTCACGATGTCCAGTTTGGTGCTGTAGGGGGGCCAGTGGCACCAGAGCAGGTTGTCCGATTTTTCCAGCCACCAATCCGGAACAGGATATGTGCTTTTGTCTAAAAGAAGCTCAATGGTACCTGTAAGTAAAAAACATATAAAATCTGTGTAAAAGTATTTAAAAACATATAAGCTTTTTTGTACCTCTTGTCCAGTGTCTTACTTGTGCGATTTTACTTTTGCATAATGATAAAATAACTAGGTCAGCAAAATACTCTATTAAAGTGTAAAAGAGATCCAAGAAAGATATTCTACCCTCCCCATGACGGTAGGTCTCGCTATCATCAGAGTCGGACTCCACCCTTCTTTGCATCCTCCTTCGCGCTCGCGACGGAGCGTCCGATTCCAGGTTTGATGTATCCTCCGCCTCCCCCAGCCTTGCCATAGCCTGCTCTAGGGTATCTAAATGACGAGGAATTGCATGAATATCGGGGTCATCTTAAATTACAGTTATGTGCTTACAGTACGAATGGATAATTTTAACTCTAAGAGTTTTCCACTCGGGGGTTCTAGCCTCGTTGCGCCTAATTGCGTTCGCGATGTCCAGTTTGGTGCTGTAGGGGGGCCAGTGGCAGCCGAGCAGGTTGTCAGGGGATTTTTGCAGCCACCAATCCGGAACAGGATATGTGCTTTTGTCTAAAAGAAACTCAGCGGTACCTGTAAGTAAAAAACATATAAAATCTGTGTAAAAGTATTTAAAAACATATGAGCTTTTTTCTACCTCTTGTCCAGTGTCTTACTTGTGCGATTTTACTTTGGCATATCGATAAAATAACTAGGTCAGCAAATACTCTATTCAAATGTAAAAGAAATCCAAGAAAGATATCCTACCCTCCCCATGATGGTAGGTCTCGCTATCATCAGAGTCGGACTCCACCCTCCTTTGCATCTTCCTTCGCGCTCGCGGTGGAGCGTCCGACTCCAGGTTTGATGTATCCTCCGCCTCCCCCAGCCTTGCCATAGCCTGCTCTAGGGTATCTAAATGACGAGGAATTGCATGAATATCGGGGTCATCTTAAATTACAGTTATGTGCTTACAGTACGAATGGATAATTTTAACTCTAAGAGTTTTTCACTCGGGGGTTCTAGCCTCGTTGCGCCTAATTGCGTTCGCGATGTCCAGTTTGGTGCTGTAGGGGGGCCAGTGGCAGCCGAGCAGGTTGTCAGGGGATTTTTGCAGCCACCAATCCGGAACAGGATATGTGCTTTTGTCTAAAAGAAACTCAACGGTACCTGTAAGTAAAAAACATATAAAATCTGTGTAAAAGTATTTAAAAACATATGAGCTTTTTTCTACCTCTTGTCCAGTGTCTTACTTGTGTGATTTTACTTTGGCATATCGATAAAATGACTAGGTCAGCAAAATACTCTATTCAAATGTAAAAGAAATCCAAGAAAGATATCCTACCCTTCCCATGATGGTAGCTCTCGCTATCATCAGAGTCGGACTCCACCCTCCTTTGGCATCCTCCTTCGCGCTCGCGACGGAGCGTCCGATTCCAGGTTTGATGTATCCTCCGCCTCCCCCAGCCTCGCCATTGCCTGCTCTAGGGTGTCTAAATGACGAGGAATTGCATGAATATCGGCGTCATATTAAATTACAGTTATGTGCTTACAGTACGAATGGATAATTTTGACTCGAAGAGTTATCCAATCTGTGGTTCGGTCCCCGTTGCGCCTCGTTCACGATGTCCAGTTTGGTGCTGTAGGGGGGCCAGTGGCACCAGAGCAGGTTGTCCGATTTTTCCAGCCACCAATCCGGAACAGGATATGTGCTTTTGTCTAAAAGAAGCTCAATGGTACCTGTAAGTAAAAAACATATAAAATATGTGTAAAAGTATTTAAAAACATATAAGCTTTTTTCTACCTCTTGTCCAGTGTCTTACTTGTGCAATTTTACTTTTGCATAATGCTAAAATAACTAGGTCAGCAAAATACTCTATTAAAGTGTAAAAGAAATCCAAGAAAGATATCCTACCCTCCCCATGATGGTAGGTCTCGCTATCATCAGAGTCGGACTCCACCCTCCTTTGCATCCTCCTTCGCGCTCGCGACGGAGCGTCCGATTCCGGGTTTGATGTATCCTCCGCCTCCCCCAGCCTCGCCATAGCCTGCTCTAGGGTGTCTAATTGACGAGGAATTGCATGAATATCGACGTCATATTAAATTACAGTTATGTGCTTACAGTACGAATGGATAATTTTGACTCGAAGAGTTATCCAATCTGTGGTTCGGTCCCCGTTGCGCCTCGTTCACGATGTCCAGTTTGGTGCTGTAGGGGGGCCAGTGGCACCAGAGCAGGTTGTCCGATTTTTCCAGCCACCAATCCGGAACAGGATATGTGCTTTTGTCTAAAAGAAGCTCAATGGTACCTGTAAGTAAAAAACATATAAAATCTGTGTAAAAGTATTTAAAAACATATAAGCTTTTTTCTACCTCTTGTCCAGTGTCTTACTTGT